CTTCCCCAAGTTGCTTTCCACTCAAACCTTCTTTCCACCAGATCCAAATCCTATGAGAGAGAGAGTTGAGTGTTGGGGAGACTATCATTTGAAGCACAAGAGCAAGGAGTTCATCATCAACACACCATTTGTTACTTCTTGGAGAGTGGTGTCTCCTAGATTGGCTAGGTGTCACTTGGGAGCCTCTGACAAGATTGTGGAGTTGAACCAAGGAGTTTGTAAGGGCAAGGAGATCACCTACTTCGTGAAGATCTACCGCTAGTGAGGCAAGTCCTTCGTGGGCGATGGCCATGGTGGGATAGACAAGGTTGCTACTTCGTGGACCCTTCGTGGGTGGAGCCCTCCGTGGACTCGCGCAACCGTTACCCTTCGTGGGTTGAAGTCTCCATCAACGTGGATGTAGGATAGCACCACCTATCCGAACCACGGGAAAAACATCCGTGTCTCCAATTGCGTTTGAATTCTCCAAACCCTCCCCTTTACATTCTTGCAAGTTGCATGCTTTACTTTCCGCTGCTAATATACTCTTTGCATGCTTGCTTGAATTGTGTGATGATTGCTTGACTTGTCCTAAGATAGCTAAAATCTGCCAAGAACTAAAATTGGGAAAAAGTTAAGTTTTTATTTGGTCAAGTAGTCTAATCACCCCCCCTCTAGACATACTTTCGATCCTACAATAACGTCGCTTTGAATGCTGCATACTGAACACAAAAGAAGTCCGGAGTTCAAATAAGTTATTAAAAATAAAAAAGAGGTGCAATGCTGGTTAATTTGCTTCAAGTCATTCGGAATAGTGTAGACTGCACTGCACATAGCTCAGTGCAACCTATGCTATTCCGCAATGCTTGAAGCTAATCAACATGCAGGTGAGCATTGCAACTCTTCGTCATTGTCTGTGCACTCACGGCTTATAAACCGCTCATATTGCCTCTCTCTTGGCGAGGTGGGACTAAAAATCAGCTTACAAACAAACTCTAGTACCGGTTCATGGCATGAACCGGTACTAAAGGTCTTCGTGGGGCCCCAGCCTGACCATAGCCTGACACAGCCTCATTAGTACCGGTTCATGGCATGAACCGGTACTAAAGATTGCCCACGAACCGGTACTAATGATGCTCGCCCGCCTAGTCATTGGAACCGGCACTAATGGTCACATTAGTGCCGGCTCAAATTCAAACCGGCACTAATGTGCTTCACATTTGACCCTTTTTCTACTAGTGTAAATTGGCTACAAGTGCTCATGATGCTGCCTACGAAGGGGGGGTCATCTTCAGACGTACCAAACGGCACGAGATCAATATGGAACTGTGTTTGGAAATTATCGGTGCCACAGAAGATGAAGATAGCGGTTTGGAAAGTGGTGGTCGGGGCTTTGCCGACGGCAGCATGCAAGAAGTACAGACATGTTTCTAAGCGGTCTACTTGCCTGCTATGTGGTGTGGAGGAGGAGAACGAGTTACATGCCTTAATCACATGCGATCATGCACGTACCCTGTGGACACACATGCGGGAAAGGTGGCCTCTCCCTTCGGATAATATTCTGATCAATACTGGCAAGGAATGGCTCCTGAATTTGCTCATGCCATGTTCGGATCAGGTTCGTGACATGGTGATCATGCTGCTGTGGAGGATATGGCAGCTGCGGAATGACTGCGCACATGGCAAGGAGGTGCCAGCAGCGGCGGCAACAGTGGAGTATCTGGATAGTTACTACAAATCCATTCGGCTCGCTAGTCGCTTTACCACGGAAGAAATAATAAAAGGTAAAATGCCGGTCTCGGAGCAAAAGACCGACACTCAGATCAAACAACCAGCGCCACCATTGCCGGCTCCTAAGACGGCGACCGCCACGCTCTCTGTTGATGAGTCCTTCCGACAGGAAGATGGGTCAGCAGCAACCGGAATCATGTTGAGAGATGGATCAGGTACGGTGTTACTAGTGGCTTATCGTTACATGTTTAATTGTAATGATGCATTGGAGGCGGAGATCCATGCTATCATGCAGGGTATGGCCTTGGCTATTCAACACACAGTTCTTCCGGTGGTGGTGCAGTCGGACCCAGCGACTGCTCTTTCAGTATTGGCGAATGATGATCTCACCAAATCAGCATATGGGCATTTGATACTGGAGATTATAAAGACTTGATGATGAAAAGGGAGTTTTTACCTCAGAAATTACATCGGAGTCAGAATAGTGTTGCAGATCGGTTGGCAAACTATAGCCGCACCGAGAGAACCACGGCTGTGTGGGTTCATTCGGTTCCACCATGTATTGAGGACCTTTGGCCTCTCGATTGTAACACTGTGACTTTATAATAAAACTCCCTTTTACCCCGAAAAAAAAGAGTATGCTGCTTCCTCAAATAAGCTATCTGCATGTGTACGCTTGTGGCACGGGTACTATCAACAAGGTCTGAGGGTCAGAGGGTGGCGTTGTTTTCACACCCTAATCGACTGTAGTAGTCTACGATAGATTTGTAAGAGCAACTCTAGCAGAGTCCCCATTTTATCGATTGTCATCTATCATATGGAACACGCTTCATAATAATATGGAGGCTGCCAAGGCGATGCACAATCTCAGAATCACCATGCGGGATCCGTTTGTCGTTGGCTAAAGACCTCTTCCTTCCCCGCCTCAACAATGAAAAAAATTCATTCTAGAATTAAACATGGATTACAACTATGATTTCAACAACCATTTAAACTATGATTCTTTCTCGATTCGAGAAGATCTCAATGTTCTACTTGGAGGATTCAATCTATCCGGCGAACCAACTCGTGGACATTAATCCTGTCACGTACCTCATTGAGATACACGCAACGCACTGCACGCACGCACACAACCATTCGAACTTCGACGTGTTGCTTTTTCTCCATGTGTAACTCCGCCCGAACTTATGAATGTAGGCCAACATTTTGCGGAATCACGAGAAATAAGCAGGTCGAGCCAAATGAGCTATAGTCATGCATATCGGTTATGTTCAATGTTGCGACATGGGTGATCTATTGTATCCCGGTGCACGCTGACAAGACAAACATACCGGCCGTGGCCATGAACATAATCAAAGTGGGGTTCAAGCTATTGTATGTGGTCCTCTTCATCATTGACCCCTAGGAGGATGACTACAGACGGAATTGAGCTATGGCCGTGACGCACTATCCGTGGATGCAGGAGGAAGAAGATTTCAACATCGCCAAGATTTAAATTGTTTTTCTACTTTTTTGTACGGGTATGTTTGTAAGCACCTGTGATACTTAATATGGCCTTAGGCCTTTTCGCCAAAGAAAATTGGAGGTGCTGGTGCCGTTCAGGTGTAGAGCGGATTGGATTCATCGGGAGAGAAGAAAACAGGAAAAAGGAACATGTTTCCACGTTGGGCCGGGTAGGCCTGTACTGGGAGAATGGGGCAAATGAATATGCGAGGCTGTTTCCACGTTGATTCATGCTGACATGCTCACATGCATTAATGGACTGTAACATAGCAAGAGCAGTGTGGGCAATGTGGGAGGATGATGTTATTGTACCATTGGTTGGAGGTGAGACCCAAAATGCAAAGTTGTGGCTCTTCAATCTAGTAAACACACGTCAATAGGATCAGCTGGTCGAGGTTCTTGTTACTCTCTGGGCTATTTGGTGGGCGCGGTGGAAAGCAATACATGAAGGGGAGTTCCAAACATTTTTATCGCCAGATACCTTGATGAGGTGCGGTCGGCACATGCCATGCAACCCTTCGGCTCCCAAACCAACTCGTGTGTGGAAGCCCCCACCTGAAGGGTTTGCAAAACTGAATGCCGATGCGGCAGTAGCGAAGACTCGGAAGTCAGAACCGAGGTGCGATTGGGGTG